AATAAGACTTCACAAAGTGCACCAAACTACAAACGGGAGCTCCATCCTTAAACTGGCCAACAACTTTCCAGAAGTGTCTGTGGGTTCTTTTCTACAATTGCGTAAAACTATTCTGCACTGTCTCATTCCACATTAGGATTACAGGAAGAAGAAGATTGTTTTGAATAGTTTGTCAGGGAGATTTAGGAACGAACCAGTGCCTTGTAAAAACAGGAGGCAGCTGCCTTGGGGCCCAGAGGTACAGAGGCCACTGTTGGGCTTCCTCTTCTGTGCCCACATCTTATCCCATGGCTACCATGGTCATGAATGTGTGCAAAAGGGCTAACAGAGCTGAGCTATAAAGATCAGAATGCCATCAAGGAATTAAGCCTTTTGTGTAGCTCTTCACGGATAATCTAAATCTTCACCCTCAGTTTGCAGCTTTGCATAGAGGAGGTCTGAGAAGTTAATCCAAGACACCTCTATTTCGATAGAAGAAAATACATGTACAGAATTTAATTCTTGGTGTTCTCTGAACTTGGTTGCTTGCAGACATTTAATTACCTGACTAGGGAATATCATCCGTTCTAGTGAGTCTAAAGTTTGCTCCCTATTTATAAATAGCCTGCTCTGTCAATGCTGGTCGTGTTATGGTTTTTCTCCTTGGTAATTCCTTGATTAGGGTATTGTTTTATGTGTGATCATATGTCTGGGGGTAATCCCTCCTTATCTGGGTATATAGGCTGCTGGAAAGGATGTGGAAAGATCTTTTTGTCTGCTTCTTGGCTTTTTTATTGTCTCTTTTGGGTGGTCTATAAATGTGGTTTATTTATATGCCCATTGATGGCTGATTTGTCTGAGTGCCAAACTTCCAGGAGTTTCCTAAAGTTTTTGGATTTAGCTTGGTTTGTAATGCTAAGTTTCCCAGCTGAAACTGTGGTTGAGCCTGTCCATGTGTTGTGAGATTGAGGAGGTTTTGTTGTGTCTTCAAACTGCTAAGTGGTGTTCTGCTAATCTTCTGTCTGTTACAGGTAACAGATGTTACAATTCTTACACTGTATGTTGTAGGTGTCTCTTTTTTCTTCTTGGGAACTGGGTCTTTTGGTTTATTTCAGATGTTCTAGACCAGTGATGGCTAGCTTTTTCCACATTGCGTGCCAAAAGTGCATGTGCATGCCTGCACCCATGATGCAATGCATGTATGACTCTCCCTGCCCGCTGCGCATGCATGCGTGACCCCTACACGTGCACCCCCCTACACCGCATGCCTCTGCGCATGCACATGCAACCCCCCATGCCGCATGGCTCTGCACATGCATGCATGTCTCCCCCTGCAAATGCGTGGCAGGTACCTGACAATCAGCTGGCTGGCAGGGCTTGCACGCACATGCACAGTGGTGCTCTTCCGGGCGATCTCTTGCGTGCTGGAAGAAGTGGCTGTGCATGCCACTTCCGGCATGCGTGCCATAGGTTCGCCATCATGGTTCTAGACAGTTTGGGTTGGTTTGTGTGTTACGTCAGTGGTCCCCAACCTTTTTTGTACCAGGGACCACTTTCAAGCACAAACACTTTTTCAAGGACCGGGGGGGGGGGGGGAATCCGAGTTTGGTGGTTTGCTTGCAGACGTTT